CGATATTTTTGAAACATGATAATATCGGTTCAAAATTTTATGTTTGCCATCGATGTTTAAGACTTCCTAAAATCGCTAAATTGACGATACATCGATGCCAGTTGCAGCGATGTTTTAAAATATTTATGCTCCTAAAATTTTTTGATTGGCCATGAATTTTATTACTTATTCTTTTGAGGAACATTCAGATATTCCGAATTTACTCTTATCTTTCGATATTAAAAATGCTTACTTAGGCATGCATTTCTGTTGTATTTATATGAATGGTGAATAGATACAAGGATATACACTTGTGATCAGCTAATTAGGCCAGCAATATTTTGATCAATTTTGGTTATTTTTCTTTTGTTTATTTAATGTTTATTATTTTTCCATAAAAGTCTAGTTCATTATATAACAAACACCACATAAATCCAGATTTCAAACTTTGTGCAAACATTATGAAAAATCTGCAAAGTTTCAGATAGATTTTCAACTTTTTATTCAGATTTTTTAGTATGCGGTTTAATAGCCCATTAAATTCTAGGGTAAAAATGTACAAGTCTTAAGTTGCTAAAAAATCGCGTTGATTTTTAATATTTTTTTTCTGACTTCATGACGCATTTTTTTCCATAAAAAAAAAAAAAAATTGTCGAATTTACACATTAACATACACGTCAGAAGAATTAGGCATGGGAAGAAATTGTTGGTGGTATATAAAACCAGTTTCCAATTTAATTGTCCATAATTATTAATTTTAAACCTATAACAGGTAATGCTGCCTTGAGACAGTTGATATTTATTTGGCGCAAAAAGCGTTGGAATATTATCTAAGAGCGCGTGTGACTCGATTGGTACATTTTTATATTGGACATTAGTACATACAAAATAAAACAATTGGGACAATAATTTTTGTAGTCACAAGATCAGTACAATATATTAAAATTTAAACGAACAATTTTTGTACAAATTGTTTGTCATGATTGAGACAAAACCCAATATTTGGGCGAATGCCCAATTGTATTACACGGCCTAAAGAAATTTCATTTAACATTTTTTAGCCCTTAGCTCTTTAGAATTGACTTTATTCCCATTTTATTATCAAACATGATAAAATAATTTTTAGAACCGTGTCTGTGACAAACACGCAATGTGGCCACTGCTAAGATATAGAACTTGGGGATTTTAGCTTGTTATTTTAGATATTTTTTAACAGAACATGAAACTATAGAATAAAGCAAATAAGCAAATGGATGAATAGAATTGACAACAACCATGCTGTCGAGTTTAAATAGCGGCAAATCAGCTGCACTTGATAGTAGTTGGTTGAATAAGAAAAATGAATTAGCAACAATAGTTTACGGGGTGTACATAGCTCAGTGGTTAACGCTTCTGACTTTGCACATCGATTACGCAGGTTCGATGCCCGCTAAGTCTAGAAAAAAGAAGGCTGATGAGATGTGATGATCTCCGAAATAGCTGCTATAACTTCTACCGCTTAGACTTTGTCGATTTTTCAATTTTTCCTAATGAACAATCATGGTACAAAGCTCAATAAAAATATTAAAAATAAAATGTGCGAGAGTAAACTTATTTTTACGCCTAATTACCGGATCAGACCGGAAAGCGTGTGGAACAAAGCTAATGTTTCGCAACTCTGGATATACAAACAGTTTGAATACCACAGTATAACAGTATCCAAACATTTCATTAGGGGTATTCTCTGAGGGCCGGTTGCTCAATGTCTGGTTATCACTACCACTACACTATCGCCATCATGCATGTTACATGTGATCGATAAAGCAGTCGTTGTACTTAACCGGAGCTTCTACCTCCGATTTGTGCTAATCAGGCATTGAACAACCGGCCCCGAGTCATGCAAAGCCCTTGCATGGTGCACAGATTGCACGGTTAAAACCAGTTTTCGTATGGGACAGCTTTGCAAACCGTGCAATCCGTGCACCGTGCAAGGGCTTTGCAAGACTCAGAGAATACCCCTATTGATACATTTGTCCTCTCTCAGATACGTCAAGTCTTGAAAGCAATTTTTTTCGCATTCTCTTTTATGTTTTCTGTTTGCTTCCACACGCATAAACTTTAGTTGAATTCTACTTACTTCCTTCGCTTACGAACGATTGAAAGCAAGAGTTGACGTTTCTGATAGGCGACTTTTGGAAGTCAGCCTAACTTTCCTTTAAGACCCCTTTCAGACACGTCACGACTTCATTTCAAGCCTGCTCATTCGTAGGCGAAGGGGATGAGAAAATGTACTCTTCCCCTCTCTTCGCAACTCTTTCGCCAACGGACCGACCAGACTTGAAAGCAAGACTACACTTATAGAATATAATAATTATTTGCATTTATGCAAAAAATATGCGACATTTTTTTTAGTTGTGGCTGTTCTAAAGAGGATAAACGATATGTTAGTTAACACGTCTCATTATGCAATATTACAAGGTGTTGGGAGGCTGGCAGCTTCTCGCTCTAATTCCGAAATATTGACTGCCTTAGATGAAACCGTGTTAGTTTTTTAACAATTCTTTGCCTAATTTAGTTGAATGTTTATTTTTTCGCAGTATATGGGTATTTCCATACGTCGCATATTGGATTATTTATGATTACGTTTTATGAAATTATTCAGCAAGGTTTTTTAAGATTTAAATGTTTTTAAACACCGAAATTGAGAGAATGTTGTCTGGTGGCGTCATGTGGCAAATGTTTATTTTAAGACATCAAAGTGCCCTCACACAAAAACTTGCAAATCATATTGTTCGTCAAAATAACCGTTGGTAGGCCACCGGTATTTACCTGTGGAGTTCTGCGATTAAAAAGGTATTTTATCGTATTTATCGCTGTGGTGTAATGGTAAGCAGTGCGCGCTTCCACTCCGTAGCCCTGGTCAAATTAACATCACAAAAAAGAAACAAATGTAGAAAAAAGGTTTTTTCTTAACAGCGGTCGCGCCTCGGCAGGCAATGGCAAGCCCCTCAGAGTATATTTCTGCCATGAAAAACAGCTTATAATTAAAATACAATCGCCGTTCGCAGTCAGCGTAAAACTTTAGGTCCCTCCCCTTTGCGTGACAACATCAAGGCCAACACCACAAATCGGAATAGCCTGGCCAAGCACTAACATATGTGTAAGCGCCAATCTATTAATTATTATTTCATTTCATTACGAATATATTAAAAAGCAAATTTCGTGTAGAAGAAAATATGAAATTGTATATTTTCCCCCTAAACGGCGATTGATTTCTTCCCGTTCTTCTTCTTATTCCACTGAGCTAAGACAGTATAAAATCGAGCTTACGTATTAGGTTTGTTCTTTTACAAATGGTCCAGTAACTTGCAAGTAACTCTCCAGTAACTTAATTTCTTAGAATTCGCTCTGATACGACAAAAGTACCAGAATGCAAAAAAATAATAGGGCATGTTCGAGGCACGTAATAAAAGCGGCAATACTGCAGCACTAAGGAAATACTGTTGCAACTTCCCAACTGATAAAACGTTGCTAGAAATTAACACCGAACGTAATACCTTAATAATTCGTGCAATACTGCAGTTGAGATTGCATCTCGAACAAGCCAATAATTTGCAAGTTTTACGAACAGCTGATTAATTTATTGTTTATTCGCAAGTAATCCCTAATAAAACGATATATATTATATTTAAATTGGCTTTATTTTTTCAATTTCAACTACGAAAAACCCATACAGGCAGGTTCTGCAATTCACTTTCGAGTGCATTTCAATCAAACTCGCTTTGAATTCAAATTGGCAGGGTTGAAATTCACTCGGAAGTGAATTGCAGAACCTACCCGATAAGCATTTCTTTTACCAGTTTCAATTGCACCCAACAACATGCGATCAGCTGGTTTTCTCACTTGCAAGTTCTTACTAGTAAAAAAAAATCCAGTAAAAACTAGCAACTTCTCATCAAAAAGAAATGTCACTTTGCGCTCTGAATTTATCCTTTTTTAAAGGTTTTTTGTGTACAAGATCACCAAAACGTGATAGTAAAAACTGGTACAACTATCGCGTAGAAGAACGCTACTGTTATTGCATCATGAACATGTGCCGCTCATAATTAACAGTTTAGAAGCCACATGCTGCGTTGTTTTCACTTATTCAGCGACAGCAAATGAGGTGCGCCTAAAAGCGCGGCAACGCCGGCATTTCCTACGCCAAAGTATAGAATGAAGATACAGAAATTTTGCCTTTGTTTTGAGCCGCCATTTTTAAAATTGAGAAGAACCCGAGCAAATGTGATAAAAAGGAAACACAAAAAGCAAGTATGAAAAAATAAAGAATACAGGCTATAAAGTGTGATTCTATTGCACATATGCGCAAAAAGAGCGAATATAACCTCACTTTAGGAAATAATGTTTAAGAAAAATGTGACTATGTACGAGGGATGTATTCATTGGGATAGATACATAAGCATTTACATACATATATTGTGTATCAATGTATGTACATGTACGAATCAATAGTATGCATATACATAGATTAAAGTATTAAAGGCATAATGTATCACATATTTGTGTGTAGACACAAAACGCCAATATTCCTACGTATTACTAAGTACCATTAAGTATTAATTTGATTTAAAATATACTCAACGCGTTTATTGGAACGAAATACAAAAAAAAAATCAGTAAATCAAGTTAAGTACCCATAGAAATGCAAAAGCCCAGCAAAGTACAGTCACACACACGCGCAAAAACAGGCAGGGAGAAAACATACATACATGCGCACCTTCAAATGGCCCAGACGAAAAAATGGCAGCCGTCTGCAAGCGGAGCGCTAGATACTACCCAGTTCCTACTTTACCCTTTGCAATTTTTCTACTCTTATCTAGCTCGCTAGGCAAAACACGCGTTTACGTAACACTATAAATATACCATTATACTTGATTTCCAGCCCTCTACTTAAAATTTTCAGGACATATGCATATGTATGTATTTTCCTTATTCCTTTTATAAGAGATATTGTATAGTCAAAAGCTTGCTTCAAGACTTACCTATCATCATCCCGAGCATTTGACTGACCCTCGGCGTTACCATTTGTACCATTGGTGCCGGTACCATCATCATTCGTGGTGACGTCTTTTGAAAAATCCTCGCCGTTCATCTCGACGTCGTTGTTCTTGTCAGCCATTTTATATATTTATATTAGCTATATAGCGGGCGTACACTGGATTACTTTTAATGTAAATTTTAAAATATTGCAACTTTTGAAATCTATTTTTTTGGGAATTAACACAAATTTGCAGACTCGTGGCGAGCCGTACTGACTGCTGTAATGGCCGGAAGAGACAAATGCGAAAATTGGTTGTTCGTATCCGACTTCGTGCTTGTGCTGAATATGGGAAATCACGTGCTGAATTGCATCATATAGCTTATCTCCTCTGCTGGCTCTTTCATCAATTACATAGCTTCCAAGTTTTATATGGACATACATTAAAAAGTTTCTTAGCATCGCCTGTCGCATCTAGTACGTTATCTTCTAATTTGAGCGGATATTCAGGGACGCAATGCGACTAGTACCAATCGTAGTCAAACGGAAATACGGCACTTTTGAATGTTGACGCAGTTGTTTACTGGAAAATGTGAATAAAGCTAATGTATTAGATTTTTTGCATAAAATCTGGGAATTTTAAATTGCATTAAAATTTAATAAATATGAGCGTTTTAACTATAAAATATGACGAAATTGTATTAAGTCTCTGTGTGCATACACAATCCACATTCCAGGAAAAGAAAAGAAGAGATATTACTAGAAAATTACGTCTAGAAATGTTGCAGCACAGTCTATATTTAAAAAATTGCAGGTTTTTGTAAATATTTCGCGAAAATATCAACCAAAAAAAACAGAAAATACCTGCTCCAAGTGAATTTTTAGACGCCAAATGAATTGAAATATCACGACCAAGTGTGCAGAAGTGTAATCGTCATGTAATCGTTGCTTCATGACGATAACTATGACTCAACTATGATTGGACGACCAATGAGCAGAAAGCCTTATAGGGACATTCCATGGTCAAACTGCGTACATGGCTGATTCAAGTAATACAGCAGAGCAAATATAACCCTGCCATGTTGCTTGAGAAACGAATGTCAAAACAGAAAGAAATGAAAGTCTCCTTTCAGACACGTCAAGTCTTGAAAGAAATTTTTATTTCATTCTCTTTTGTGTTTTCTCTTTGCTTCCACACGCATCAAGTTTTATTGAATTCAACTACTTGGTTCTTTAAACGGGAAGCAGCGAAAAGATCGAAAGAGAACAAGAAAANCTCATTCTCGTTTGTGTTTTCTCTTTGCTTCCACACGCATCAAGTTTTATTGAATTCAACTACTTGGTTCTTTAAGCTTAGTATCCAGCTCTTAAGAAAAGCAAAAACTCCATATAAAATGACGTACAAGAAATGGCTAAGAAATTTTCTTGAGTCAAATTTCCTTAAGGCAGTACGCAGTTCTTCAGAAATTTAGTACGCTTTCTACTACGGTTTTCTAAAGTTTTTTGTGAAAAAAGAGCACAAGGCAACCCAGGTTTGCAACAGAAATATATGCCCGTTCCATTATTTCTTGAGGAAAGAGTGAGGCTACAGGCTGTGAGGTATAAAAAATTTCAAAATTCCTTCGACACACACGCGTAAAGCTTAGTATCCAGCTCTTAAGAAAAGCAAAAACTCCATATAAAA